TTCTAGTCAGAAAGTGATTGCCTATCGCTTCCAGTGCTTTCCAGTACCAGTTTCAAAGATTTGGGTCTGACATTGAAATCTTTCATCCATTTTGAATTGACTTCTGTACAGGGTGGGAGGTAAGGGTCTGGCTCGGCCTTCTACATGTGGATATCCAGTTTTCCCAGCAACATTTTTTGGGAAACATACTTTTCTCCAACACATATTTTCTGCTCTTTTGTCAAAGATCAGATGGCTGTAACTGTGTGTTTATTTCTGAGTCTTTTATTCTATTCCATTGTCTACACATCTGTTTTTGTTATCATGGACTAGGGCTGTGTTTCTTAAAGACTGCTGTACGACAAGACTGCACACTTCTAGACTGTGGGGTGTGGATGAAACCACAGCCACTGCAGCACAAGGTGGGAAGCAGTGGAGATGGCAGTGTGCATTGTGCACTCCCTGTCCCCAAGTCAGGTGTAGCTAGTGCATTTTGACATGGTATCTTCAGCTTATGATGAGTTTATCAGAATTTCACCCCACTGTAAGTCAATAAGCACCTGTAAAGTTTATGGCATTTTCAACTGAATTAAGCCTTTAAAAATTGGGAGAAGCAGGGTGCAGTGGCATATGCCTGTAGTTCTAGCTACTCAGGAGGCTGAGGCAGGAGGATCGCTTGAGTCCAAGAGTTCTGGGCTGCAGTGCGCTATGCTGATCGGTGTCCGCACTAAGTTCGGCAGCAATATGGTGACCTCCCGGGAACGGGGGACCACCAGGTTGCCTAAGGAGGGGTGAACCGGCCCAGGTTGGAAACGGAGCAGGTCAAAACCTAATCTTCCTCTTTTGATGATAAAGGAATTGTTACAGGCTTAACTGCAGAACTGGGCAAACTATTAAAAAAAAAAAAAAAAACCTTCTCTAAGCCAGGTGCTGTGGCTCACACTATAAGGAAGCAGAAATCAGAGGATCAAAGTTCACAGGCTAACCTGGATAAAAAGGTAGTGAGACCCCCATCTCACAAAAAAGATGGGTGTGGTGGTCGTGCCTGTAAACCATGCTACACAGGAGGTGTAGATAAGAGAATGGGGCTCCAAGATTAGCCAGGCAAAAAACCCTCAACAACCTATCTGAAAAATAACTAAAGCAAAAAGGACTGGGGGTATGGCTCAAGTAACACAGCACTTGCCTATCAGGTACCAGACTCTGAGTTCAAACCCTAGCACCATCAAAAAAAATTCCCTTGAAGGTGTCAGATACCTACCAAGACAGTGAGATGACTACATAAGAAGGCCAGTAGGTGGGCCCTACAATTCCATTTTTCTCCTTGGGACACAGCTCCCAACTCAAAAAAAAAAAGCAAGAAAGTAGAGATCAAAAAAAATCACAGAACAGATGACACTACTAGAAAAGAACAGAGTGAGGGAGTAGATTTGAACCTAAATCTAGCATAATTATGTTAAATATAAACTGACTAAATATTATAATTAACAGACAAAGTTTATCATATTTAAAAAGAAATCAGAACCCTACTCCATGGTACTTTTAGAGATATGCCTTAAATATGAGCATTCAGAAAAGTAGAGATTCAAGGAATAGAAAGACTATGAAAACAATAATCAGAACAAAGGCGTGTTAAATCAGACCACGTGGATAGTTCATGATGAACAAGATCCATCCTCCTGGAAGATACACCCCCTACCCCATTATATTATCAGATGACTGCAGCTAATAATTTAAACTCTGAAAGCTGACAGAGCTAAAATAGAAATAAGCAAGTCTACATCATGGTAAGTCATTATAATACTCTTCTCTAAGAAGCTGAAAAAACAAGTAGTCCAAAAAGAAAAGCAGGAAGGACACAGAAGAACTGAAGGACATAATCAATAACCCTCATCTAATTGACATAAATAGAACATTCCAGCAGAATCAGCAGACAAGGTCTTTAAGCCTATGGAACATTCGTCTAAACTGACCACGTGCTGGGACAGAACACAAATTCCAACGAATTTCAAGACTGACCTAATGCAGAGTAGGTTCTTGGTAGACATCAACAACACATACAATAATAAAATCTCCAAGTATATAGGAAAATGGAAGTGCATTTCAAAATGGCCCCTATGGTCAAACAAGAAATCGCAATGCTATTAGAAAATGGTTTGAACTAAATGATAATTAAGACACAATTCAAAACTTATGAGAGCCAGCTGAAGTGTGGCATAGGTGGACTATGCATAGTTAGAAAAAAAGAACAAAAGTTTTAATATAAAAAAGTATGGGTACACTGCTCCAGATTAAGTTTAGGGACATTTCTTCACCATAACATGCCACGAAGAGAGTAAAAAGGCAAAGTAAAGTACTACAATATAGTTGCAATACAAGTAACTTTCTACTGACTTAACAGCCAGTGTCTAGGAAGTCTACAAATGAAATACAACTCAACTCAAAACTGGGCAAGGCAGGAGCAAGTATTTCATAAAGATGATACCCAAATGGCTAATAAAAGCCAGGTATCAATGGATCATGTCTGCAATACTAGCTACTTGGAGACTGAGATAGGAAGGATCAAGGTTTGAGGCCAACCTGGGCAAATAGTCCGTGAGACACCATCTCCAAAACAACCAGAACAAAATGGACTGGAGGTGTGACTCAAGCAATAGAGCACCTGCTTTGCAAGTGCAAAGCCATGAGTTCAAACCCCAGTCCCACCAAAAAAAATGACTAATAATCATAAAATACCCTTCCTCATTAGTCATTAGGGAAATGCAAACCCAAACCACAACGGCCCATCAATAGGAGGGCAAGGAGGCCATGCAGTAGGGACTGTTACACAGGAGTGGGCGTGTAAAGAAGTGAAATGAGTTTGGAGCATTGCCTGGCAGTGTAACTACCAAGTCTGAGCACACATGTACTTTATACCCCACCAATTTACGCCTAAGGTACATCGCAGTGAAACTTCTGCACATTTACAAAAACGCACATTTGAGAACAGCAGACCAACAGTATTATTCAGTGGTCCAAACTGAAAGTGACCCAAGTGTCCCAAAACAATAGAAAGCATCTATACATTGTGCTGTGTTCATGTAATAGCAATAAAAAGAACCAAACTACAGCTCTACAAATCATGAATAAAATTCCACAAATACAGTGTTGGGAGAAAAAAGTAGAATGCATCCTATCTAATTCTATTCATATATAAAGTTCAAAAGCTGACAAAATTAATAGGGCTGAGGTGACTCACACCTGTAATCCTAGTTACTCAGGAGGCAGAAATCAGGAAGATCCCACTTTGAGACCAGCAGGGTGAAAAATTCAAGAGACCCCCATCTCAACCAAAAAAAGCTGACTGCAGAGCTGCATGTCTGTTATCCTAGAGACCCGGGAAGTGGAAACAGGAGGACTGTGGTCCAGACCCACCTGGACATAAACTGTGAGACCCTATCTCAAAATAAAACTAGAGCAAAAAGGGCTGGGGATATGGCTCAAGTGATAGAGCACCTGCCTAGCAAGTGCAGGCTCTGAGTTCAAACCCCAGTACCACCCAAAATTTTTTTAAAACCAGATAAAATTATGCTCCTTAGAGATGCACACATAAGTGGTAACACTAAAGAAATGCACAGATGTGACCCATAAAATTCATCTGAGGATTAAGGACTGAGTGTTACATATAACAGGGGTTTACTGGGGTGGGAAGCAACACACACCTGACCTCTGGGCACCAGCCAGCGTTGCTCATTTCCTGATCTACAGGGAATTTCAGGGCTGCTCAATTATGATTACTCATTGAATCGTGTATTTTCCCTAATTTGCTAAATTCAAATTTTAAGTTTTTTATAACAAACTAAATGGAAAGATTGTATGAGAATTTTGTTACGTAGTTACAATTTAATGATTTTATTGGCAATTTCTTGGAGCACTATAACAAATGCTCAATTAACACATTAAAATGAATATTTGAGGGCTGGCGAAATGGCTCAAGTGGTAGAATGCCTACCTCACAAGTGTGACGCCTTGACTTCAAACACCAGTGCTGTACCCCCAAAATGAATATTCAATTGTCTAAAACTAATTAAAACTGTTTCACTTATCAAATCTTAAATTACTCTATGTTCAATTCCTGTGTGGTGTTGAAGCATTTTTAAGATTACATGATTCTGTTAACTGCTGTGTCAGGAAATGCTAAATGACCTTCCCCTGAAAACAGTTAAGCAAAGGTCAGAAAATTCTGTGATGGTCTACTACACAAAAGATTTCAAAAGCAGACAGTTAGATTAAAATACACAAGGCCCTCACAGCAGCAAACAATTTAGAAATTGGGGCCCCAGGTCCTCCAGCCTCCATCTCTCTTGTGTGCTAACATTTGTTATGGATGTATGACCATAAACAGTTGAACAGTAAGCCTGGATTAAAATTTCAAAGTCAGAATCATATACACAACAGATTTTCCAAATGACATCTTGTGACTCAATTCTGTAGCTCAGTGTTTCATGTTTGCTAGGCAGCGTCCTGGGTAGCTGGGACTACAGGAGTGACCCACCAACCCTGTCCTAATTCTTTATACTTTATTTCTTGGGAAGACTGTTGTCTTTGTCTGGAACACTGCATAACTGAATTTGACAGCTTCCTTAAATTCTCAAAACCCCTTCTTAGGATGATACCATGAAAGAAATATGGCTGACAGTCAAAGAACTAAAAATGATGCCTAAAAATTTATTTTCACTTGAAAGTAAGTAATTATGATAATAAATGTAAGGTTAGCTATTCGTAAAGGGTAAGTATGGTTAATGAGGGAAAAACAAAAGCTTTCACTCTTAATAAGTCACCTGACCTATTAGAAAACAATAAATGAACTACGAAATCCAAAACCGCAGCGCCCCTTTACGAGCAGCCGGTTAATACAGTGACTCAGGCTAGAGTGACTCAGGAACGAATGAAACTAGTTAGGAAAAGGAGCATGGCAGATAAGTGCACATGTGTGGAAGCAGCCTGCATCGGGACCCTGTGAAGATGAAGCCCAGACTCACCTTTAACAAGGGGTAGTTGATACTCGCCACCCACATGTTGGTGAATGGAGCTTCCAAGACGAGGGCATCAACCGGGCATCCTTGAAACGAGACAGAAAAAAAAAAGAAGGAAGAACTTACTAACTCCCCTAGTCAAATGCCACCTCTCCCAGGTAAGCAAGGGGTCCTTGGGCCTTGGACCTGAACCGCCAGCATCAAAATCATTTGTGAAGCTAATTAATGATGCAAACCCCTGAACCCCACTGCACAGTTATGAGTCGGGGGATATGGCTGAGAATGTGCAGTTGAGTGAGTTTCTCCCCGCCCACCCCCAGACACTTCCACGCACGTGGTATTAGAGCCACCACCTTCTTCTAAGAACGCAAGGATTGTTGAGTAATTTTAAGAAGCAAAGTACCACAGGAAGGAAGAGTGCCCTGCAGCCCACAAAGAGTGTGCCAGAGGCTGTTTGTGTGCGCGGTCACACTCCCTCTGAAAACAATAAGAAACTGTATGTGCAAGGAGGGTGTATACACATGTGTGTGTACGTGTGTGTGCATGTGGATAGGTGTATAAACGTATACAAACACATGTAAATGCACATGTATGTGCATGTGTACATGCATATGTACGTGCTTGAGGGCACATGAGGGTGACTGATCAGTGAGAATTTTCAGAGCTTAGACCAAAGGAGAAAAGCCCAGAGGCTTGGAGGCGCCCTTCCCCTCAAAGCAGTTGAAACTCTGAAAGCAACGGCAGTGGTTCACAGTATCAGAAACTAAATAGAACTCCCAGGATTCTCACAAAACCAAAAGACAAAAATTAGAGGTGAGGATCTGACAAAGGGGAGGACTCTAGAACATCTTCAAGCTTTTGGTCATGACCTCAAAGGACTACACCCTAGCTAGCAGTCAGCCAGCTCTCGGGAAGACTGGGAGAAAAGCCCAGAGGCTTGGAGGCGCCCTTCCCCTCAAAGCAGTTGAAACTCTGAAAGCAACGGCAGTGGTTCACAGTATCAGAAACTAAATAGAACTCCCAGGATTCTCACAAAACCAAAAGACAAAAATTAGAGGTGAGGATCTGACAAAGGGGAGGACTCTAGAACATCTTCAAGCTTTTGGTCATGACCTCAAAGGACTACACCCTAGCTAGCAGTCAGCCAGCTCTCGGGAAGACTGGGTTCCAGCTGAGACCAGCTCAGTTTCTGGCTGGAGTGAGTGACTCAGCCCCACCATGACTGCCTTTGGGGAAAGAAGTGACTTATTTCTGGAGGAAGATAGCATCTTAAATCATCTCTCTGGTCTTCCATAAACAGTTGCTAACACTTAATCAAAAGTAACTAGACGGTCAAAGACAAAGCAAAAGGGGTTTAGAGGAATAGCTCAGGGGTAAAGTGCTTGCCAGCACGTGTGAGGGCCTGGGATTGATCCCCAGGACTGCCAAAAATGAATAAAGTAAAAGAAATTTTTAAGCAAATAATTGGTTTGGGAATTTTTTAATTGTATAGCATGATGATAATGGGTATTTTAATTTATCCAACATTTCTATGTATGGAGTATATTCTAAAATGACCTGGCCCTATTCCAAGAGTTTCTAATCCATGAAACTAGTTAGGATCCAGGAAACCTGGGTTTTTAACAAGCACACTCAGTATAATCTAATACAAGCCATTCTCAGATCACTTTGAGAAACAAATATTATGTAGAATTAGTTATGAAGAGATTCATGATTTGATCATCAGAACACTAACTTTCAGTGGTTCTTCAATAGATTATTTAGTAAAACTGAAAGTGGATTTTGATTAAGAGTTCAGTATATACATATGAACATACCATATGATAGTATATCGTTGATTTTTCCAGTATGAAAGAAGAGTGCCCTCCAGCTCCATGTTCTATGAGTCAGATGTATGCTACTATATGAACTAATAAATGTAAGGTGTTTCAAAAAAAATATTATGCCGAATTGTTGCCCAAAGCAAGCCCTGTCTACTGTTGGATTAGTCCAACGGTTTGTAATCACTTCACAAACACAACTCTTATTTCTCTCTTTTTTCTCTCTTCCTTCCTTCCTTCATTTTTTCCTTTCTTCCTTTCTTTCTTTGTTTTGACATTTTTTTTTTTTAGACAGTCTTTCTAAGTATTCCAAGCTGGCCTCAAACTCAAGATCCTCCTGCCTCAGCCTCCCAAGGGCTGGGATTACAGATGTGTACCACCATGCTGAGCTAAGAAGATCTTTTGAAGGTAATTTAAAATCTGTCCTTAGTGTTTATGTTTAGCTTCATAACCTGGAAAACCAGCTATTATTTTATATTAAACGGACAGAAAAGAGAAAGTTCACTACACTGCCAGAAACTATCCAAAAATGGGATGCCCTCTGTATCAGTGTGATCTAAGTACACACAAATTTCACAAAACCTCTCGACTGTTCTTATTTTCCCACCTCAAACAAAGAAATTCTAGCACTTAAACATGTTACATTACCTTTCTCTTCTAACACTTTGGCAGCATTTGTTGCGACTCTGTAAAAGCAATAAACAGTAATACCTGTGTGAAGCAATGACCATTAAGTCACACGAATCATACAAAACATCCCATCCAGAAGAAGCATTTGATGACAGTTCAGAGATCCCTGGTTAGAAAATCTACATAGACACAAAATTTTGTATTGGATTTCAAAGGGTTCCACAGACACTAAATTTTAAGGGTCTTTTTCTTCAAACAGGAGAGTTCCAGAATGAACATCACAGTCATGGTAACCAGGGAGCTGAAGGGACCTTCTCTTGTTTTACAAACAGGCAGATGGAGATGACCACTTCTGGAGTATGAGAGAAACCAGAGAAGTGTACTGAGGCCCCATCTCAAAGCCCTGGTGCCCCTGTTCACTGCTGCTTTGCTAGGACCACCAAAGGATGCACACTCAGCTTAACTCACCCTGTACCCAGAGAGTGGCCCCACAGACACACAGGGGTCTTGCCACTTCTTGCCTTGGTCCACTCATAGACACACACAGCATCCACAGTCAGTCCTTCCTCTGTGGGCTTCCCTGTAGAGTCTCCGAACCCTGGCAGCAAGAAAAGACAGTGTCACCAGCTCCAATGTGAAGGGCCATTCAAAGCTTCCTGCTTACTGAAATGTCCTTGCACCTCGTTCTTAACACATACCTCTGTAGTCAACAGATAAGACATGAAAGCCACCATCACTCAGCACCTAGACAACAAATGAACCATTGTCACTTTCCATAATTAGAAGACATGAACAGAAAAGGCTCCTCCTCGACATGCCAGAGCCCTAGTGGTGACAGTTTAATAGCTGGGGAAATGTAGTTTTTGAAACCTGGTTACAAACTTGAGATTAGGCTCTGGGAGAAAGAAGGAAAGCAGCCTGACAAAGCAGGGTCAGACAGCCTGGGTCACACCCTGGCACAGCCACTTATCAATGGTGTGACCTGGCAAAGTTATTTAATGTTTAAGAATATAAAGGTTACAGGCTGAACACAGTAGCTCACACCTGAAATCCTAGCTACTTGAGAGGTGGAGATAAGGAGGACGGTCGTTCAAGGCCAGCCCAGGCATAAAACAAGACCCTTTCTCAAAAATTACTAACACAAAAAGGCTGGCGGAGTGGCTCAAGCAATAGAGTGCATGCCTAGCAAGTTCAAGACCCTGAGCTCAAACCCCAGTGCTGCCAAAAAAAGAATGTAAATATTATTCTGAAAAGTGAAAACCAATGTTACCTCTGGGGTTATTGGATGACTACATGACAATGTACCCAAATACCTGACTGCATGTAAATGTCTTTGTTAAGTACTCTTTTGAGTCAGCCACATGGGAGGCTTAGGCAAGAGGACCATAGTTCAAGGTTGGCCTGGGTTACATAGTGAAACCCTGACTAAAAAGGAAGAAAGGAGCTCCCCTGAGCGGGGATGTAGCCCAGTGGTAGAGACTTGCCTACAATGCACAAGGCCCTGGGTGTGATCCCCAACACCACACACACACACACACACACACACACACACACTTGCCTTGAGACTAAGACTCTACACAGTTGTAGTAGACACAATCAAATAATGGGAAGATATTTCTATTAAATATGACCAGATAAAGAGTTAATTTCAATAAAAAAATAAGATTACTTGAGCATATGAAACCAATTCCAAGTCCCTAGTTAGATAAAGAAAGTACTAACATTAAAACATAATTTTATATGAAATGAAATAGATAGACAAAGAAAAGGATCATAGAAGGAATGAAGTCTTCCAGTACAGACACTTCTAAAACCTTACTTAACCTTCACAAATGTGCTCTAAGTTAAAAATTATCTCTACTTTACAGATAAATGGAGCATTCAGGAGTTTCAGTGCCTCATTCAAAGTTCCCAGTCGGTTAGAGGTAGTAGCAAGATTCACACCTGGAGTGGGCCGCTATACTGCATTAGGATATTTTTAATGCAAATTGAACTGATGACGAGGAACTAAACAGAATTTTAAAATATTGATTCAGGCTACATTCCCTTCAACAAAGTTAGCTAATAAATATGGTAGGTAGCTAAGCACCCAGGAAACTGGGAATACCCATTTGTTGTCTGTGGCACCATATGTGCAAGGACCACTTTACACTTGACACAACTCAAGGACAATGGGAACAAATCCTATCCTCATGAATTTCTCCCTCAGAAAATATACAAAAGAAGAAGAAAAAAAAATGGATACTTTTAAGTTGTCTGTAACAGTGTCATTGAAAATGAATTCAGAAAAAAATAAGATTTTATTTCAATAACAGTGGAACAGTTGAGGAAAAAGATGTTCATAAATAAAATGGAAAGTATGTAGCCTTTAAACTAGTAACTGTGGCAGCTATGTAAAAACATAGGAGAATGTTTATATATATAGTAGTGAATAGAAGAGCATGACATAAAATTATATATGGGTACAACCACAGTAACAAAACTTTATATCAAGAAGGGGATTAAACAGGGTGGGAGAGAGGGCTAGGATATGGCTTAAGTGGTAGAGCATCTGCCTAGTAAGTGTGAGGCCCTGAGTTTAATGCCTAGTATTGGGTGGGGGTGGAATATAAACAAATGAAAATAGTTTGGTTGAAGAAAAGGAAGGAAGGTAGGAAGGGAGGAAGGAAGGAAGGAAGGAAGGAAGGAAGGAAAAATTAACAAAGATTATTAAAGGACATCATCTATCCAAAGAAGGAAAGGAAGTTTGGTCTTGTTAGGCAATGCTGACACCGAGAATGTGCCTGGGGAAAGAGTCCCAGACCAGCCAGTGTCCTTCCCCACCCAATCCATTTACCACAAGGACCAGCTGGCTGCTATCTGAACCTATAGCTCTTCTCCTTTCTAGAAACATGGAGGTTTCAAAGAATTCAGTTCAGCTTTGAATGGGAGGGAACAAAACACACTTTCTCACAGACATCAGCTTCACCACAACCAAGAAGGGAGCTCTAGGGAGAAGCCAAGGGCATGGCAGAAAGTAAAGCTACAAACGGATGACATCTCCTCTCCGGGGAAAACTCATCCAGCCACACTACTCTGCAAAGGCAGGCAGTGAAACCAGAGGAGAGAGTAGGCAGGAGAGGGGTTTCCTGTCTGCACAGGAGAGGGAGGGTAAGAAGGTGCTAGAGACCCAGAGCCTGGCAGGAGCAGGATGCAGGGTCCTGCTAATCTTGTATTAGGAAAGAACAGGGGTGGAGCAGGGAAGGGGAAGGAGAGACAGGTTTTGAGTCGATACTGGTGAGGCAGGCCAGAGACCTGCAGCAGAGATGACCTAACTGGAGTGAGGCCGAGGACCCACTTGCCCCACAAGTTCTGGGCATGTTTGGCTAAGTGGAGAGCCAGCCATCTTCCTGACACTTGGAAACATAGGGCTTCTCCAAACAAACTGGAGTCATATAGCAAGTGAGAGCAAGTATGTCCACCTGGCTGCCTTATATGGGGTGGAAGCCAGGGTCTGAATAACTTTGGTGTCATTCTGTGTCTTTAGTCTGTATCACTAAAAGAAGTAACTTCTTTTAAAAAGAGTGACAGTTTCCCACTTAAAATGCCCTCTGTACTTTTCCCCAGGCCTCAGGAAATGAATGAATGAGGAATTAATGAATTAAATTTAAAGTGTCTTCCCTTTCCTCTGGAGATAAGCGGAATAAGTTCATGAAAGTATTTTGGGACCTGAGATTCTCACATCTATTTTGACCCCAGTGGCCAATGAAGGAAAAGAAGTTAGTCACCCACTCACTACAAGCCGCTGGACCAGTGCCCTAAGACATCTCAGGAATCCCTCAACTGAGGGCCCGAGGGAGACAATGACTATAATGCAGGACAGAACCAACAGGGCCTTTGAGACCTGTTCAGACCTACCTTTACCAGCTTAATTCTGTGAGAAGCTGCCCTGTAGAAGAGGTTTAAAAAAAAAAAAAAAAAGCAAGAATTAGGAATTACAATGACAAAGTCAATATAAATTATTCCTGTGCTGCTGGCACCTGATTCCACGTCTTTCTTTCTTATTTTCCCCCCTGGGTAAAAGAAATAAACAAACAAGAAAAAGAGCAATGTTTCTTGGTGGCAGAGCCAGCTTGGATATGTCGGGTGAATGGTCGATAGCTCTCTCTGGAGCCACTCATCATGGACGTTAGAAAAACAACTGAGAGCCCAGCTCCTGTCACTTCTATACAGCAGAACTTGTCTCTAGTAATACTTAGGAGCTTAAGGAAAATAAGTTCCAGAAAGTGGCTTTTCAGAACAAAGGAATGAGGGAGTCAAGTTGCAGTAAATTACGATTTGCCTATACCCTGTCAACTCTGCCATTAAGAGCAAGATGAAGTAAAGGAGAGAAACCACCCTGCAAGTACAAAAGACATTTTTCCCCAAAATAATCATATTATCTATTCACATTAAAAGAACAAAAAAAAAGTCAAGTCGGGCACTGGTGTCTCATTCCTGAAAACCTAGCTAATCGGGAGACAGAGATCAAGAGGATCATGGTTCAAAGCCAGTCCCCGGCAAATAGATTCACAAGACCCATCTCAAAAACACGCATCACAAAAAAAAAGGGCTGGTGGAGTAGCTCAAATAGTAAGAGTACCTGACTATTAAGTGTCAGCAAGCATGAGGTCTTGAGTTCAAGCCCCAGTGCTGCCAAAAAAAAAAAAAAAAATCAAAAGTGAATTCTTTAAACCCATTTAAAGTATGCCTTAGAGCCAAACATCTAAAAGTCCCAGAGCCAGTGAATCTGGAAGAAGTGAGGGCAATTTCACATTCACACAGAGGCACAGACATGGCGTTATGCTTGGTCCACATTATCTTTTAAGTAAGTATACTGTAACACTGTGATCAAGTTTACACAATCAGAACGATGTTAATTAACCATGTTGAAAACTGCTGGGTTTCACAGGAAATTTCCAGAAATGTAATTCTAAAATGGACACAGCAAGACAGCAACTTGAGAAAAGACAAGTCTCAAGAAAGCCATCATCTGACAGAAAAAGACAGCAAGAAAAAGAGACATAGGCCAGCTCACTGGGAGGCAGATTCCAGGGCTTATCACAGAGTTTGAAGTGTCCCTCCAGAGAGAGGAGATCTGTGGGTTTCTGAGTCACATTTCCCCTCCCCCACGCTGAGGGAGCAGTCACTGATAATCCTCACCCACAGTAATTACACAGCCCAGGGAAGGCTTTGACAGCACTTCAAAGGACAGTCAGGTTTCTGTTTTGTTACAAAGCAAGGTAGGGACAGCATGAATATTCTAGACCAGAATTAGTCAGATTGTCCCCAGTCCCTCTTGTCAGAATTCCAGGTGATTTCTCTGAGAACTCATGTTCTTGACTAACAGAAATAATGCCAAATAAAGGACTCTTCACTGTAGTTTTCTGAAAAGACCTTTCCCATAATGCATGCCTGTCCCCTTTCCATCCATGGATTTATCAACCTAAATAGCAGTCAGAGAAAGACTCTCCAGAGAGTATTTGGAGAACATTTCGGAATAGCAGGGAGTGTATTCAAAGAGATTGAGGCCAGGGGTGTTTTTAAGGCAAAATGGGAGGATCACATAAGATCTTTTGAAACAATAATCCTTAGCTATAAGGATTAAAAACATGGGTGGCACCAGTCAGAAGTGGAACAGACAGTTGCTTAGGCAGATGTTCTTTCTTGCACAAGAGCTTTTGTGTGCAAGGTTGCAGTGGCTTCTGTGCAAGGCCATGGTTCCAGCAAGATGTTCTGTGCACATAGTTCTTGCTATCAAGCAGGCACGCATAAGGCCCCTCCTTCAGAACCTCCTGGCTTTATTCCTTTCTTGGTTAGGGCTTGACAAAAGGGACTCCATTTTGATTCTGAAAACAGATTCAGCCCATCATTTTGGAGATTCTTAGGGAGCCAAGGAACCACTACCTTCCTTGAAATCACAATCCAGATTTTAGAAGAATTGTTCTTTTCTTTCTTTCAGTGAAGGATCCACACTATTCTACAAATAGAATTTTTTTCTAAAGGGGAGGCTTTTGCCAGAACACCCTCAGATTTAAACACAGGAAAAGAAGTATGTGATGGTATGACCACTGAGCTGAAACCAAGCCCCGCCCTCACTCTCCCAGCACTGAAATGGCTTCATCCCTCAACAATGACAGAAATGCAAGCAGAGGCACTGACCTGTTTTCTGCACTGCCATGAAGATAAACAATAATTGGGTTCCCATCATGCAGGGCCGCTTCATACCAGCAACGGTCCTTCCCCTCTGCGTCTTCTGCCCGGCAGCTGGGGACTGTGTGCCTGGAGAGGAAGGCAGGGCTTTCACAGACATGTACAGAGACAGCGCTTGCTATCCTTCCAAGCTAAAATAAAGTCAAATACCACAAAGCCTCTTCTGATAAAAACTCTACAGCCCTCCCCCACCACCCCATGCACGGGGCAGCCCCTCCTTTTTATTTATTTATTTATTTATTTATTTTTGGTAGTACTGGGGTTTGAACTCAGGGTTTTGTGTTTGCTGGGCAGGTGTTCTACTGCCTGAACCATACCTCCAATACCAGAGGCAACCCCTTTTAACCATTTGCTAATTTTAGTTCTGACTTTTGTGCCTATTAAGCTTCCAAGACTGCAGTCTTTAGGTGTGGGCTATTAGAATAACCAAAAAAAAAAAAAATAGGCAGAAATGTATAAAAGACAACAGATGTTTCCATCTTTCATTGGTTTGGCTGAAGAATGTAAAGGGAAACCAGCTACTGTAGGAGAAAAGAACTTAAACATAAAGTCAACCTAGTCTACTTAAGAAACCAACTGACCTTGGTTCAAACCCCAGTATGAAGAAGGAGGAGGAGATGGAGACAAAGACAAAGACAAAGACAAAGAAGGAGAAGAAGAAAAAGGAGAAAAAAGAAGAGAGGGAGGGGGAGGGGAGGAGAAAAGAAAGCAGGGAGTTGGGTGCAATGACTTACATCTATAATCCCAGCTACTTGGGAGGCAGAGATTAATAGGATAGTGGTGCAAGGACAGCCTGAGCAAAAAGTTGCAAGACCCCATCACAACCAATAAAAGCTGGGCACGGTGGGGGACACCTGTCATCCCAGCTATGTGGGAAAGTGTAAATAAGAGGATTGGAGTCCTGGCCAGCCCATGGAATAAATGCAAGGCCCTATTCAAAAAGTAGCTAAGGCAAAAAGGGCTGGGGGTGTGGTTCAAGTGGTAGAGCACCTGCCTAGCAAGTACAAGGCCCTAAGTTCAAGTGCACATATCTCAAGAAAAGAAATCATAGATAGAATGTAGCATTGGGAACAAAGCATAGACTAGAGACCATGTCTTGTATGCTAGGGGCCTTCTGTGTGTGTGGAACATAGAGACGTTGCAGGGGGTGGGTAGACAGGAGAGGTGGGGATTGAGTAAAAGTCAAGAGCAACACCTAAAAGACTATACTTCAAAGTAAAATTTCTGTCAGGGAAAACCAAGCAGGTCAGGTTTCAATGTGAGGGAAAGGTGCATGGAACAACTTCTAGTGCCTCCAAGGAACACCAACCTCTGCCCGACCTCTATCTCCCTTTTGTCCTCCTAACAGGAAGACCTGTCCAAGCAACCCAGGTCCAATCAATGCACTCACCAGATTCCCAGTATCACCCTAGGCTCAGGTTTGATGTAGAAGTTCACAGTGTGAGGAATCCTTGACTCTGGTTTCTTTAAGTCCACAAGAAATGGGGCTTTGACTGAAAAGTAGAATTCATTATCAACCCTCAGAGTCAAATTCCATGACTTTTAATCTCAATCAGAAAAAAGGATCAGCCCTTGTAGGTGAATAGGTCCTAAGTTACCAGCTGAAATACTTCCTAGCAAAAGGATTTTATTTTATTTACTGACTAGAGTTGAAAAAACAAAATCTAAAGGTGGATTTGAAAATACATTGGTGTGGTAACCCATAATAGAGAAGAGGGTTTATTCAATGCTTATCTGTGTCTCAAGCTAAAAGCAGAGGGAATCATTTCCCTAAAAAGGTAAAGAGGGAACAGAAGAAAACTGTGGAGTATTCTACTACCTAAGTGAAGTCACAGGGCAGGAGGTCAGGATGGACATACCTGAGAGGGCACACCAGTGAGGGCCAGGACTCCTTGTACTAACACAATGCTCAGTAGAAAAAACACAGAAAACAAATATTTATTCTCTCTCTCTCTCTCTCTCCCTCTTCTTCCTCCTTCCTAAGTGATACAGGTAAGAAGAGGAAAGAGAGAGTAGAGAAAACAGCTGGTAGTTAAGTCTCCATAATAACAACAGGTGATTTGAAGACTGAGCTGAATTGAAACCCCTGGTCCCCGTCCCAAGGCCATGTGTCTTTCTGTCTTCTCAGCAATTTGGAAGGATTCATGCTCACCTCCAAAGTCAGTGTCAGTAGGTTTCAGGACATTGAAGTCCAGCCCCAATTTTCTAACAATCAAGTCTTTTTTTACTATGTCTTAACTTTAAGGACAGTGAGTTCTTTATTGGGAAAAAATTATGTAGGGAAATTCATGGAAGGTATAGTCTTACAAAAATTAAGGTAGATCAGCATGTCCATCAGAGGAGGGAAAATGTGCTCTTTTAGCGATTTACTGGTAAAACTGTTGTACAGAGCAGCAATCCTTCTTCCAAGTGTTGAGCAGGAGTGTGGAATAAATCTGCAAGAGATTGAGAGACAACAAGGTTTTCAAAATCAGTTCACGTTTTGCAGTGGTTTCTTTTTGCTCTTAAGGCACCAATTTTCAGAGGCCCTCACTGGGAATTCCAGGCATCTTCACATGTAATTGTCTAAATTGGGCACTGAGTGAAACCAAGTGAAGAAGCCAATAAGACAAGTCCCCAACCAATCCACGGAAAAGCCGGGGCGTGACAGGGACTGGAAGGGAAGGGACAATGGCGGTACTCAGATCAGGCTTGTCTTCTGAGTGTAGGCCTGCAGAAGGTCATCAGACAGTAAGCTTCCATGTCACGACTCAACATGCTTGTGCTAGCTATCATGGCCACTACCTAACACCGTGAGGGAGTAATCATTCCATTCCGTCCCTTCTGGCTGGGTCTTAGGAAGAAATAAGCCAGTGAGAGCACAACTCCCACTTCTGAGGTCACACCCTGAAAGGAGAGGGGAATCGGAGGTATGGGGCCACGCACTTCTTGCTTATTCTACTGTTCCTTATGACACAGCCACCCAAAGCAGGAGCCATCAGCAGGAAGTGATGATTTGACTGTAAGGGGTTACTAGTGATACCTCTGTCTTGAATCACATCTCTCACAAAGGCCAAGAGAGGTGAGAGATACAGGAAGTCAATGTCATTACCTCCTGTCTTCAGTTTTTGTCCACATCACCTGTTAAATGAATCTTTTTTCCCTATTGTAATTGGTCAATGTTAAGTTTTATCAATGGAATCGAGTTGTGAAGTTGGGGAGCTAGAAGCCCCTTGCCCTGATCAAACCAGAGGCATTGCAGAAGGTAACTGTTATTACCCTTGCTTTGCAAATGAGGACTCTAAAAAGTTAAGAATCCTTCTCAAAAGCCTGTGCTGGTGGCTCACACCTATAATTCTAGTTACTTGAGAGACAGAGACCAGGAGGATCAAGGTTAGAAGCCAGCCCAGGCAAATAGTTCAAGAGACCCTATCTCAAAAAAATCAACACAGAAAAGGACTGACAGAGCAGCTCAAGGGGTACAGCACCTGTCTAGCAAGCATGAAGCCCTGAGTTCAAACTCCAGTACCATCAAAAAAAAAAAAAAATCCTTCTCAAGGCCACAAGCCAATGAATGAACCACGGGTCCCAGGTCTGTCTGACTCCAGAGTCCTGTGACAATCTTCAATGAGCTGTCACAGTCCTGCTGAGTCCTACTTGCCATTCACATAAGCAAAGTAAACTCCAGGAGCAAGGCTGACCTCTGGCAAAATCCTGCTCTTCAGAATCTCATTTGAGAACCCCTTTCACCTCTGTACTCCTGCCCTCTCTCAGGGTCCCTTCCTCCCCCACCTCTTTACCACTTTCTGCTCCTGTATTCACAGAAACCCTCTATGAGCAAAGTCATCAAAGACCTCTAAAAAATTCATTCTCCCTCAAGCATTGATGACTTAAAAATCAGAGTACTTGTAGGAGTCGGCAAAAGGCGTCAAGAGAAAAGATGATGACTCTGATGGATTTCTAGCAGTTCTGCAAGGAGTGGATGCTCTTCAAACACATCATGCATGCACAATTACCTGCTCATAAAATCAGCAACACAGAAATAAAGATGATTGTTTCGTAACACTTTAAAAGAGCCCCCATGAGGACAGCAGGAAGGAGAGGACATTGTTGTTCCAGTTTTAGGGATAAGAAATCAAAGCCCAGAGAAGCTGCTTTGAGTCACAGATCAAGGCCATTGGGCAGAACAAAGCAGAAGCTGAAATGTCATGCTTCCTTCCAGCTGGCCACCTCCTGCGAGCTTTCTTGGATTCCCTGCTCTCACCGCTACCCTGCCTGTTAGGCTCCTGCTAAGTTATCTTTTGAAGCTAGGCAGGGTAGTCTCCCGCTAAGTTATCTTTTGAAGGTCTGCTTGGGAAGCAGAGGCAGTAAAGGGAAATGTGTTTCTTTTTTTCAGGAATAATTCACATAGGACCCTTCTCTAAATAGCTCAAGGTGCTTCTGTGAGAAGCACTGTGGGAAAAGAACAGTGACTGGAGCATCATTAATGCACGGGTGCTCCTTTTAACTAAGGAGTGGTCAATTTGACTTCCCCTGGATCAGTAGGGGATCAAAAGTCACCAGTAGCTAACAGACCCTATTTGAGCAGAGGATGCAATTTCAGCCCAAGCTCCACTACTGATGGGCCACATCAAACAGTCACCTGGGTGCTTTGGGGTTCTTTCTCCTGCCCTTTGATTAGCTGCAGCTGCAACCATACAGCATCCCACAGGGGCCACAGTGTCTGGCTGGATGATTCTTACTGGGGCAGCCTGGTGGAGCCTGACATGCAGAGTGAATCATTCCTTCTCAGACGTGTCCACACCCCAGCTTTGGGGAGCCCAAATCAAACTGCATTGGCCAGACAATTATTCTGAATATTAAGACAGTTTGCCCATCCATCCTTTTTTGATCTGATCATGCAGCCAATGCATGTTGATCACCAAGCACCAGGCTACACCCTCCAAATCTCCCGCCCTTCACATGCACTCAGGTGGGGCTCCTTTGTCAAAGCCTCTCTAGATAGAAGCCCTCAGCGACATTTCTTCCTCCATGTTTACCTTTCCCACTAATTATAGTCAGGGCCTCAGTTTAACCCTTAATTGTTCTCAGATAATGTTCCCATCATTAGCTGTCTTCACCATGGTTGTGCCAGGCCCCCGACACAAGAACCACATGGCATAAAATATTATTTTACATTCCACTCCATTTTGGTTTTTGTTTGTTTGGTGCTAGGGATCAAACTCAGGGCCTTACACATGCTAAGCAAACGCTCCACCATTAAACTACATTTTCAGCCTATTGATAGCTTTGGGGAAGGTGGGGAAAGGAAGGCTTTATTCTTTTATTCGTTTTAATTATTTTGAACCACAATTGAAATCGAGTCAATAGGAGCTCCATGGCAGCAGGGACTTCTGCCTGTTTTGCTTACACCCAGGACCTAGCCTACTGCCTGATAAAAAGCAAACAGTCAATACTGTGGGAAGAATGAGTGTGTCCTCCAGCTTGTCACGGGGGTTCTCTACGCACCGTCTAGAAATGTAATCACTTGGACTGACTTGGGGTGGCTCAGGGCAGAATGAGGAGGAAAGAAGTTATTTGGTTTCTCCCAACTTCTCTTTTGAGAATGTTTCCCCATTTTTCCTAGTTTAAAGAAAACCATTTGCAAGTGGACGCTTACTCCCATGAGCCCACCCACCCACCTACTTCAAGTGGCAGCTGTGTCTGATGATATTTTTGTAAAATAAATAAATAGATTACCAGGCCATTAAAGCACAATCACTGAAAATATTCTATGCTTAACCGTGTGTCACCCCACCCCACACCACACCTCATACATCCAGCGCTCTAGCAGAGCCAGGCACACAACCCCCTCCCCCACACACATTTGCTGATCTAAACTCACTTGATTCCAAGAAACAAAAGGGTTTCAGATAACTGTGCCTTTTAGCACATCTTACCTTAGATGAATAATCTCCCACTAAGATGAACATACTGGTGATTCATTCTTTCAGGAAGCATCTTTTGAGCCCTATTTTTTACTAATTAGTAAACCATGTAACAGAGGGTCCCAACTCCCACCTGCTCTTCTACCATCAATAGAGCAGGTTGTTTTCTAAGAGGATGAACTGCAGCTTTGATTCTATGCCTAATAAATAAATGTTCTTTGATGTCAAATGAATGTTAAAAACTCAGCCATTAACTCTCTAGATAATAGGAAAAACAGAGGTGGTACATCCAACTTTCCCTGAACAACCACATCAGGGAGGAAAATTCCTGTGAATGTGAAGTTTCAAAAATGTAGACAGGAGCTGGCCATGGTGGTGTGCACCTGTAATCCCAGATATTCCAAGGTGGAAGCAGGAGGTTCAAGACAATCCCAGGTAGTATGAGACCCTGTCTCAAAAACAAAATACAACAAAAGAGCTGGGAGCACAGGTCAAGAAATAGAGCATTTGCCTGGCATTGCACAAGACCCTGGGTTCAACCTTCAGTGTGGGGGAGTGAGGGGAAATGCAAACAGGACATTCCATTCTGCCTGGTGTTGAGATCCAATTCAGAAGGGGAGCCATAGGTTCTGCAGTTTTGGCCCAGGGTAGAGTGACTGTTTTCTGCTCTCTGTACTATCTTGGGGAAGGAACCTGAAGAAAAACCCATTTGTCCTCATCCCTGTGGGCATTCTGAACTGAAGTCCTGTGTCTGGATGGAATTCTGGAGTATTTGTAACCAGCACAAATTAAAAAGGAACCAAAACAAGAAAATATAAATAAAAATGCCAGTAACTTCCCATGTCAACAAGACAAAAGGAAAATACACGTCTCCTGGGTCCAGGGTCTCCAACCAATACTGGTAGTATTACTGATAAATTCAAGTAATTGGAGATTATTGTTCAAACCAAGGATTCATGGGAGAAAAAAAGAAAAAAAGCTGGGCACTGGTGGATCATGCTTGTACTCCTAGCTACTCAGGAGGCAGAGATCAGGAGAATCGCGGTTCGCAGCCATCTTGGGCAAATAATTCTCAAGACCCTATCTCAAAAAAACCCATCACAACAAAAGGGCTGGTGGAGTGGCTCACGGTGTAGGCCCTGAGTTCAAATCCCAGCACGGGGGAAGGTGAGGGGAGTGTGCTATACAGACATTTCCAGATTTAAGCAATGTAAGGACTTGGCACTGGTGATGGCGTCGCGGTTTCAGGGTGCTATACAGTTCGCCGTGGTGGAGGTGTGTTCTTTAAACACATCCCTGAAGTTCTCACCTGGGAACTCTGCTCTGACGTTTGGCCACCTACACAGACAAGCCATGAGCTAAGCAGATGCCATCCAAGATTACAGTATGTACTTGCTAAACCCATCCTGGATATTAGCATACGTCAGATAAGAGAGCCTGGTAGGGAACCTGAGCCATCTCTCAGGAATCTCTTTTCAGAAGTCCCCCAAAGTCACCAGCTCTTGAAAAGTCGAACCCTCGAGGCTCGCTGGCCTGGGTAGGGTTTGAAGGTAAGAATAAGGCCATCTCCAAAGAACCCCGGAGCTCACAGGGCTAGGAAGCCACCAAAGTCCCCACCCCTTCATCACCCCGACCTCAGTGCCTGGGCTCCCGACCGAGGAGGGGCAGGAAAGGGGGGACAGGCAGCGCCCCGCAACGGTCCTGGCGGCTCCCTCGCCCCTGCTCCAGCCCGGGAGCCCGAGCCACCCGGGCCACGTCAGGGCGCTGGGTGCCGCGCACTCACCGCAGGTTCCGCAAGACCATGTCCCACCAGCCCGCCACGCAGCGGCCGGCGTGGGGTTCGGGCGCCGAGGCCGCCTCGCAGTCCGGAACGTCCATCCCGCGCCGTGTCCCGAGCCGCCACCTCTGCGAGGGAGCTGCCACCCGGTGCCCTGGCCCGCGCCCTCTCCGCCCCTCGGCGCCCGCGCCCTCTCCGCCCCTCGGCGCCCACGCCCGCCTCCTCCGCAGCACAGGTGGCGGAGCGACCCAGGACAGCCAGGGCCACAGGAGCTAGGGGGCGGCCACACACACCTTATCCAGTCATCATCTATTGGGCACCTAGGCTGTTTCCATAGCCTGGCTATTGTAAACAGTGCTGCCATAAACATCAGCGCGCCCGAGACTGGTATAGCAGGGTCTTATGGTAGTTCTATTTTTAGTTTCTTGAGGAACCTCATGTCGATTTTCACAGTGGCTGCACAAATTTGCATTTCCACCAACAGAGGTCCTCCCTCCTCCCACCCCCGCATCCTCGCCAGCGTTTATTGTTGTTTATTGTCTTGACAATAGCCATTCTGACTGGGGTGAGATGGAATTTTATTTACATTTCCTTTATGGTTAAGGAATTGAACGTCTGTTCATATATTTATTGGCCATTTGTACCTCTTTAAGAACTGTCGATTTGCCCATTTATTAATTGGATTATTTGTTCTTTTGATGTTTAATTTTTTGAGCTCCTTGTATATTCTGGATATTAATCCTTTGTCTGATGAATAGCTGGCAAAGATTTTCTCCCTTTCTGTGGATCTCCATTCTGGTAATTGTTTTCTTTGATGCACAGTTTGTTTATTGCTTTTTTTTTAATTTGATGCAATCCCATTTGTCAATTCTTGCTTTTATTTCTGGAGCAATTGGAGTTCTATTCAGAAAGTAATTGTGTATGCCTACATCTTCAAGTGTTTTCCCTAGGTTTTTCTGTAGTAGTTTTAAAGTTTCAGGTCCTCTATGAAGATCTTTGATTCAGGGTCGTAGGTCTGGCTCAAGTGATACAGCACATGCCTAACAAATGTGATCCTGAGTTCAAACCCGTACACCACCCCACCAAAAAATCTTTGATCCATGAAACATGATTTTCTGTGGTGCCTGTTCTGCTTGAGGATAACAGGACTATCTGGAGGGAAATGTGCCCTTTTTTTTTGAGAAGGGTCAGGTAGCTCTCTCTCTAAAGACTAGACCATTTGTAGAACTGGTCAGGCAAAGGACAATTTCATTCACTGCCTCTTATAAAATCACCCTGGCAACGTCCATTCTCAGACTCACATTGAGATAGAAAGAGGAATCTGCCTGGGACAGACCTGCAACACCCGGCATGCAGCTGGCTCATGTGGGAGCCCCATGCTTGGAGCCCTGACAGATGAGGCCCCTCCAGGTGTGTTTCCCCAGGGCTGCACCTGAGTGATAAGAAAGGCTCCTGGGATTCCACCCCGGGAGGGAGGTGGTCATGAAGAAGGTCTGGAATCTCATAGAACTTGTCCCAAGAATCTGTGGATGAGGCTCTGCCTTGCCTTGTGGAGCTGAAGAGACAAAGAGCCAGCAGAAGGAAGAGAAGGGAAAAGCACCTTGCAGAGCCCCAGATTCTATTTCCAGTCATCTGCTCAGCTTGAGAGAGCAGAGGCCCACCTGTTAATCAAGCAAATAAAGTTGTTAGCCCACAACTGACTTCTAGGAGATGTTTGAAATGATCAGCAAAATCTCTGAAGGTGGCATCACTACGTCCCATTTTTTATAAGATTTATAAACCAAGGCTCTGAGACAGGCTTTTTCCATCCTTTTTAAATGGCACATCCTGGAACTCAGAGAGCAGAGTCTCCAATATAATTTGGCAGACTCTTTAAAAAATCCATTTATTCATTCAACACTCACCTACTAAGCACCTTTTACTTGCATTTATTTATTTATTTGGTGGAACTGGGAGTTTCAACTCAGGGCTTTGCACTTGCAAAGCAGGCACTCCACTACTTGAACCACATTTCCAGTCCATTTTGTTCTGGTTTTTTTGGAGATGGGAGTCTCAGGAACTATTTGCCCCTAGCTGGCCTTGAGCCACAATCCTCCTGATCTCAACCAGGTAACTAGGATTATAGATGTGAGCCACTGGCCCCCAGCCTGAGCACCTTTTAGATGTCAGGTACCACACAGACACTGAGGGATACCAGCCAGGATCCCACCTAGTAGAGAGACTTAAAGTAGCAGGAACATAGACTAGGAATTGAAAAGTGCTCTGAGGACAGAAATCAGTTCAAGGAATGCCAGGAACTGCAGGTGGAAAGAAGGGCTTGACTATAAGGGGTATGAGAGGACATTTTAGGATGAAATGTCAGGTGTGGCTCCATGACTACTAATGCCCACCAGAACTCATAAAACTAGAAACCTGTGAAGAGTGAATTTGACTCAATATAATTTATACCTCAACAAACCTGACTCCCCACACCCCTCATACTAGGGGTTGAACCAAGGACCTCATGTTTGCTAGGCAAGCATTGTACCACTGAGCTACACCCCCACCCCAGCCCAAATCTGACTTCTAGAAAGGTGACCTATGAAATGTACAGATACTGATCTGTACAGAAACTACACTAATGAACATATCCCGTGTCACTTGTGCACATTAAGGCAAAGTTACTGGCACAATTACTCAGATACCAATAGTTGGATATTATTTGCATTATTAGAAAAAGAAATCCTGCCAGGTATAGTGGCACATGCATGTAATCCCAGCACTCAGGAGACTGAGGCAGGAGGATCATGAGCTCGAGTCTACCCTGGGATACATAGTGAGTCCCAGGAGATGCTGTTACATAATAAGACCTTGTCTCAAAAAGGAAGGAAAGAAAGGAAAAGAAGGAAGGAAGAGAGAGAATGAAAGAAAGAAAAAGAAAAGAGAAATTTCAGTTGGAGGCAAGTTAATTTTGTCACCTAAAAAATTATCTTGGAGGAAAAAGAATGGGAGATAAGACTTTCTCAGCTGCCACCCAACAGTGTAGGAAAAAAAGGAGGATGAAGCTTTTGGTGATAAACAGCATACAGCAAATTGATAATTTTCTTTTGCTTGGAGAATACTTTGAAAAGAAAGTATCTGCCCCCTTGCATTTCTTTTTCTTTAAATACAGCTTTATTGAGACATAATTCACTTACCATAAAATTCACCCTTTTAAAGTAGACAACTCAGTAGTTTTTATATATTCAGAGTGCATATCATCAGTATTTCATTTTAGAACTTTGCATCACCCAAAAGAAAACCCCATATCCATTATCCCCTTTGCTCTGCACTAAGCAACTGCTAACCTTCCTTTGGGACATGCCATATAAATTGAATCACACAATATGTGGTCTATTGCATCTGGCTCTATGTTTTCAGCATTTTCAAGGGTAATGCATTGGTGATTTTCATTTGTTTATTTTTGCTTTTGGAGGTGTACTAGGGATTGAATCCATGGCTAGGCAAACACTACTACTTGAGTCAAGCCCCCAGCCGTTTGGTTTGTATTTTGGTTTTGAGACAAGGTCTCACTAACTTTGTTTGGTCTGACCTGGAACTCTTCCTGCCTCTGCCTCCTGAATAGCTGGAATTTCAGGCATGTACCATTACTCCCAACTAGGAATCAGTATTTTATTCTTTTGTGGATGAATAATGTCCATTGCATGAATATGCCACCTTTTGTTTAGCAGGTCAGAAGTTGATGGAAGTTTGAGTTGTTTCCCCATTTTGGCTCTTATAATTAGTGCTACTATAAACATATGAGTTTTGTTTTAGTTCTCTTGAACATAAGACAAGTAACAGAGGGTCCTCAAACTGGGTCCAATTGCTGGGTCACATGAATAACACAATGTTTAATATTTGAGGAATTTCCAATGTGTCTTCTAGAGTGGCTACACCATTACACAATCCTACCGGCACCAGTGCCATGTAAACTACAGCCTTGCTTTTTTTTTTTTTTTTTTCTTTTCTTTCACCCTCTCTGACCTGTCCATGCACAAATGGGGAATCAAACAATCTGATGCTGTTAAGATTAAAATAAAACATTAAAGGGAAGTTTGAGGAATGTTCTGGAAGATAGAGAATGCATAAACTAACTCACTCAGAACTTTTCTTTTTTTTTTTTTTTGTACTGGGGTTTGAACTCAGAGTCTTGTGCTTGCTAAGTAAGCATTCTACCACTAGACCCTTCCTCAAGCTCCTCAAAACATGTATCTCTCTCTGTTATAGTTTTGTATTGCTTTTGCCTGTGTCAGATGTAATTTAAGACACTTTACCGCAGGGACAAGAGTGAATGTTGGGTTATTCCTGTGACTTGGAGTTGAGAGTGTTGCTTTGGGCTTCCTTTTAGCTTTCTTTTCTTTGAGGGCATGGTCCCCTTTCAGTTGAAATTGGAAGTACTCAAGTGTGATGTGTCTTGGAACCATCCACATTTGCAGACAGGGCCCTTCTTACTCTTGCATGGTAACTGATAGGACATGTTTTTCCTACTGTCTATGGAAGGGCAGGGCCAGAATGAAAGCCCCAGATTAAGTTCCCTCCCAATAGTCTGGATGCTCCTTCTCCAGGGTCCTCCAGTTATTCCTTTGAAGTTAATCAATTGGGGTGGGAATGGTGTAGCTTAGTGGTAGAGCACACACTTAGAATGCAGGAGACCCTAGTTCAATCCCCAGCACCAAAAACAACAAATGGCAAAGCTGAGCATTTTGGTATGTGCCTAGCACTCCTAGCATTTAGGAGACTGAGGGAGGAGTAGCAAGACCTTATCTAAAACCACAAGGTTATTTCCCAGGGGGCTCCTTCCTTAGCTCTGCTTCTCTTCTTGCATTATATATACAAAGATTTCCAAAACTGTTCAATCATTTGGGAAGCTGTGGCTAAGCACACTAAAATACGTTCTTTTGGTCAATGTTTCATACCTCAAAATCTTGTCTTGGCTAATATTCTTTGAGAATCACCAAAAGACCATTATCGAGTGCAACACTTTGCTAAATTTCTTTCCTCGCCTCTCCACTGAAAACCTGTTCCACTTGTAGGACTCCCTGTCTCAAAGAAAGGCATCATCACACACTGTTTTCCAAGCCACCAACTTGGTGTTTATCTTGCTTTTTCTGTTT